TCATCACGGTCGCATAGGAGCCCCTTTCGGTAAAATGTCTACGGCTTCCTGTCTATCATCTACTCGCAGGTTTCGCATTCGATTGCGGGAATTGAACATTGTGTTCAGGGGGATTACCCGTGTCGTTCTTTAGGCCAGCTCATGTCTTTTATTGGGTTTTAACAGAGTCCTTAGTTCTCGTGATACAAAACGCACTTGGGTTAGACTGATGACCTTCCCAAGTATCAACACGTCGTACCGGCCGCATCAATTCACTGGGAAGGGGTCCTCACCGGCCCCCCCCCTCCTCATTACTGCATGTTTCTACGGTCAGAAATCCTACGATGTTGTTTATCACCCTTCCCTTGCAGTTTTGTTCTTGTGGCATATACGGTGGTTCAGTCAGGTGTCTCCTCTCTGCCTTGGTAGAGATGGCTTTGACCCTGAAAAACTCTGCCCCCTGGTGTGGTTGTCTATGACTACCTGGGATGTTGTGGGATGATTGGCTGCCAGACACTGGCGTTGTCTGTATGTTAGGCTGGTTCAGTTGTGGTTTGTAGTTGGCGGCTTTACCGAATGCAAGTGGAGCCTACCTTCTGTTTGACTACTTCTGTTTCCCTTGCCCCTCCTTTCTTGTCGCGTTGGTTGGGAGTGCATCTTGCCCAATGTTTGGTCTGTGCATTTGCCAGACCTGGGGGACTGGCTTTGGCTGGCTCTGCCTACTCTGTCCCGACTCGGTTGGACTTCAGTTCGGTTGGGTTGGATGGTGTGGCTGGTGCTAATACCTTCGGTTGTTGGTGCTGCCCCCTTTGTGGCTCCCAGCTGTGGCTGGTGGGCCCCCCTCGGCTATACGCTATTGAGGATTTGGGCTCTATTCATATGGCCAAGACCAGTGGCTGCCTGATGGGGCTGGGTATACGCTATCCTATGGCTGTCAAATGGTTGATCTGTCTGAGGGGCTGGGAGGGCTGGATGGGCTCTGTGGTGTCTAGTGTGTGGAGCTTGAGGGGCGCTAATTGGGGGGGGCGAGGCACCTGTGAGCACCAGTTGGGCCTGGGTCAGGTTGGACGAGGTCTAATTAAGTGTTTCCAGTCCGGCTTGGGCTGTTGGGCGAAGCTGCTGAGTGCTGTAAAGCTCCCCGATGGGCCGGTTGGCTGATGGCCACCTGTGCAGATAGTGGGTTGCAACCACCTGGTTGGACTTGTTTGGGTCTTGCGTGCTGGGTTTTGTAACGTGTTCGCAAGGTGCTAATCACGTTATCGGTAATAGGTACGATAGTTGACAGGTGGCCTGCTCTTCCAGAGAGGAGGTGAGAGCTGAGAACTAAAGGAGGCTTCGAGGGTGTACTGAGGAACAAAGAAGTAACCGTTCAACCAAGTATATTGAAATACTTTCTGTCGAAGTCTGCCGTTTCTATCGTAGAAACAGGCGGTCTTTAAATACACAAATCTGTTCATGTCTTAACATGAACGAAACTAATCAAAGGTATCAATCGATACACTTTGGTAAAACTCCTTAAGTATTAAAGCGATACTTAAAACAAAACATAAAACAAAACCAAGTATCAAACGATACTTAAAACTAACCAAGTATCAAAGCGATACTTAAAACAAAACATAAAACAAAACCAAGTATCAAACGATACTTAAAACTAACCAAGTATCAAAGTGATACTTAAAACAAAACATAAAACAAAACCAATAACCAAGTACCTGTACCGGTTACAGGTTTTGTGGGGTTTGTTTGGTTTGTTTGGTTTGGTTCTGGGCATGGCTGGCAGGGGCAAGGCACCACGGGTGGGAGATAGGCCCCACTGACCATTTCGGTCTGTCACCACCTCTATGTATTTCTTTTGTTTATGGATTTTGTTTTTTGGGGGGACAGACAGCAGGTACAGGTCCTCCTCACCATTACACTCTTCGGAGGCACTTGGCAAAGTGGGTTCATAGGGTCGACGGCCGGGCATGCGGATGCGAGTTGTGGACATGTTAGTCCCCTCCTCTCTGCCATTGTGTCGCCTATAGTTTATATTTGTTTTAGTTTTGTTGGTTTTCTACTGTGGTGGAAGTGTTTGCGAGACGGTATTCAGACTGGGCGGTAGTGATTTTATATTTTGTTGGACGAGGAACCTGGTTGGGTCGGTCTTTTGCTCAGCTTCGGCTACGCTTAGTGCTGGTTGGCTTCATACCAGAGAGACTACGGACTTGGACTGGAGCAGGCGCTGGGTTGTTTGATGGTCTTGTAATTAGTTCTCGTGCAGGCATGACTCGGGGATGGCAGGTGCGGGGCCATAGACTTAGTTAGCTTGGGTTAGTGGTATACCGGTTAGCAGTATCCCTGTGCTGGCGGGGGCTCAACGTATGCCAGTATTAGTGGTATGAGTTTAAATAAAATTAGATTGTATTCTAAGTACTTTTCCTACTTATTACTTTAACAAATATAAAAACACCTTTACAATCTTTATCTTTATTGCAATATTATCATTACGCCAAGGAAAGCCCTTCACGAAGAAGAGTTAGAGAAAGCTTACGATAGGCGTTCCCGATAGGAGACAGAGGTCTTGTACTATCGGTAATGTAGACAGAGGCCTAGTGCTATCGCAAGACTAAGGGAAGAAACCGAAGAAGAAGAGAAGTATCGTCCCCTGTCGCCAAGAACTAACTATCCAAGGAGGGATCATTACAACTGGTCTTAACTCTGATATCGCTGGTAGTCCTTGCTTGTTAACCTATATTGTATTCAAAATTACTTTGCGATAGCTGACATTGTTGTGTCCTACTTGCGCTTATCCTTTTTAGGTATGATATTTTTCATAATAGGCACAGTGTGCCTGGCTACGAATTTTACTGTTTCAGACTGCCCAAGGGATAGAGAAGTATTATGTTTGTTTGTACATAATATAAGAGGTGTTTTCTTTTCCATATATAACTGAACTTTATTTTCTCTTTCAGACTCACTAAGAGTCTCAACTATTTGAACATATAATTTGAATACAACACTTTATACTAGTACTCTTTCTACCACTGAAACTTTTGTGCAGAGAGCTGAGAAACCTGAATGGAGTGTTGCTTGCATGTGAGAGATTTATGACTGATGATAGAGTTATATAAGTGGTATGATCTCTCTGATCAGGCTTGCTTCCCCCCATTGCTTTTAGAATTCTTTTATTATCACATTGAAGTACCATACAACTCGAATTGCAAGGACAACCAATCAGAGAGCCGCAGAAAACCACCCCACGCTACCTTCAATCACCGGAGAAGAAGTTGAGTAAACACTACGACAGCAAGCTGAATTTATGATTTTCTGTCTTGCTTGGGAAGGAAGGATGACTGTCAGACTCGGGAGCTTGGCTTAACTGCTGTGTCCGGCTTCGCTTCTGGCTCTTCCTTCCCTTGATTAGTGGGAGAGTTCGAATGCACGTCCGAGTCTTTGTCTCATGCATGAAGGAAAAACCTTCTTTACTCGTAATGAATGAATGGAGGGAGCTGGACCACGTGAGGCGCTGTGGTGGTGTGGAGCGGGCTAAACTCGTCAGGGCTGAGTAATCTATCAAATGGAAAATGGAGATACGAGTACGGATTTCAAAGCACTCAAATCATGATGAAATGCGGGGGGGTGACGGTGAAAGTGACACTCTCCAACCGTAAGACCCCGTACAATCCACTATCTCCGCGCAGGGGTTAATCTCCGTGTCCAGAGACAAAGTACCTCAAGAAAGAATAGTGTGTACCTGACGCAGTATGGCCGGTGTTTGAAATCTCGGTAACCGGCCTAGCACGCTCAAGCCATACGAGTATCGTACAGCACCCCGTCAGGTAAACGCTATTCCTTCTGATAGAAGAATTAATAGAAGAGATAAGGGGTGAAAAATTGGTGGGAAGGAGAGCCATAGAAAACAACTGCAAAATACTTGGTAAATTATAGGGTGAAAAGCACAATTGAGCACACACTAGTAATCTAGTAATGAATTTTGTTCCGATACTGCAAATCTACAACTATATCAATTACCAACCTTGTTAGCAACCAAGAACAAAATATTATGTACTGTACATACTAAAAAGTCTGACCCCTTTCCTCTGTGCAGTACTTATGAGAAGAAAGTGAATACTTACCATAATGTAATGCGCCATTATTTTGAGTCCTTTTTGCAGCTTTCAACATGGTTATGTTTGAATTCTAAAAGGTTAGTCATACCGGTAGTGTAGCTGTGTTCCCAGAACGGTTTGTTCCTGCTCTCATGTGGTTCGTATATGGGTATGATAACCACTTGTGTGGTATGATAATACCGATACATCTACCGTACCCGGCGTAGATGGTGGATAAGGAAGAAAATCGAGTTCGCCTTAATCATAACCAGATCCCCTGAAGAATGTCATGGTCGGATAATTTACATTGAGAGCGAAACGACTTTTTGGGTAATGCAGCTCAGGGAGGTTTCGGAGTAATTTACACCACAGCTTTTCCTCATCTCGGGTTCGGGCCATAGAGAATTCCTACATCTAGGATTGGGGATAGCGGTTTTAAATTGAGGGATTCGGACTATCGCATGTATTCGCCGCTTTCGGGAACTCACTGTAGAATTGGGAAGTAATTTTGCAAGGATTTTTGCCGTTCCACCCCTTAATACAGTCTTTTTTTCACCCTTCTGTCTGGTCTCTTCCTGAGTTTCGTGCTCCATGCCCTTGTCGCGTCGTTTTTTTTCTTGCTTTGAGAAAAGAAAAAGTCCTATCGTTCTCGGATGCCACGTTTTGGCTGGTCCGAGAGAGAGAGGGTGACCTTTGCGGTGCAATGCCGGTCGTTGTGGGTCGGGGGCATGGAGACTATTGAACTGACGCATGCTTGCAACCGGGCTCTCGTTCTCCCTTCTCTCCTCTTCGGTAAAGTATGGGCCCGCACTGCTGACTACTCAAATAATTACTTGTAACTTTGACTTCTCACCCCATTCCTCTCTTTCACGGATCTCTCTACCTTTCTCCTCTTTCCTCTCTTATGGTACATCCTTTCCGCCCCTCTCTCCCCTCTCCGCCTCTTCCCCTCGTCAACACAACCCTTCCTGCAACCATTGGTAACTTCACAGGTCCTCCAATCGAGTTTCTGTGTTGTGTTGTCGGTTGGGTTGGCGAATCCTTTCAGTAACGCGTAACTTGGTAGCTGCGTAGCTACGACAACCACAAGCCCCTCCCCCTTTACTCAACACATCCCCTAAAGAAATCCTCCGGGTGTTTGGTTCCCTAATACGAGTCGCTCCTTATCAATCCTAACTTGTACTAGAGAGGATGCCTCGGAGACCATTTTCCTCTGCGTCGCCGACGGTACCAATACCCATTAATGACACTTCTCGAACCCGATCCTCCCCATCATCCCGTAGTGCTGCAGCTAAAGTTGCTCAATTTTTTTCGTCGTCACCCAAAGCAGCGAGCTCTCCTCCTGGGTACCTCACCGCATCGGCTTCCCTACTGGCTGCCCAGGAACAGAGCAACGCTCGTGCATTCTCTCCGTCTGTCTCCCTGCCAACCATCTCTCTTTCAACGGCTACAGCAGATAAAACTTCAGATACACCCATGATGCTTTTTTCTCCTCCCTCACCTGAGGCCGCGAGAAAATTGGCCAGACAACATGCGGAGTTTGGTCCTCTTGGCCATGTCAGTCATCAATATGTCTCCCAGCATCCAAAGGGAGCAGAGATCGAGCATCCCATTGAAGACGAGCCTCCGTACTACTATCTACTTACGACTTACATTTCGTATTTGGTTCTCATTATTTTTGGGCATGTGAGGGATTTCTTCGGAAAGAGGTTCAAGGTTGAAAATTACAAACATTTGAGGGCTCAAAATGTAAGTCGTCGTCATTGCTCCGCGGCGCAGCCGCTAGGATAGCTCTGGAACGAGCGCTAATAATGGTTACCGTATAGGGATATGCACCGCTTAACGACGATTTCGACAACTTTTACGTTCGTAGATTGAAGATGAGAATCAACGATTGTTTCGCTCGCCCTATCACTGGTGTTCCGGGCCGCTTTGTCAATGTCCTTGACAGGACATCGGATGATTTTAACCAAACCTTTAAATTTAGTGGTACTTCGACTGAAACATTGAATATGAGCTCGTACAACTATCTTGGTTTTGCCCAATCGGAGGGGCCTTGTGCCGATGCTGTTGAGGATACCGTTCGCAAGTATGGGTTGTCTTCTGCGAGCTCTCGCATGGATGCAGGAACCTTGGATCTTCATACCGATGTTGAGAACTTGGTTGCAAACTTTGTTGGAAAGCCCGCTGCTATGGTTTTCTCCATGGGCTATGGTACAAACGCTGCAGCATTTTCTGCCCTGGTGGGCAAGGGTTGTTTGGTAATTTCGGATGAGCTGAACCACGCCTCAATTCGCTTCGGTGTTCGTATTTCTGGTGCCGTGATCGGGATGTATAAGCACAACGATATGAGAGACTTGGAGCGTCTTCTCAGGGAACAGATTTCCCAAGGTCAACCTCGCACCCACCGCCCGTGGAAGAAGATTCTCGTCGTTGTCGAAGGATTATATTCTATGGAGGGAACCATGTGCAATCTTCCAGCTTTGATTAAACTTAGAAAGCAATACAAGTTTAACCTGTTTGTTGATGAGGCTCATTCGATCGGGGCTTTGGGGCCTAATGGGCGCGGTGTTTGCGATTATTTTGGTGTGGATACAGCGGAGGTCGACATCCTTATGGGAACGCTTACGAAGTCCTTTGGGGCGAACGGTGGTTACATTGCGGCCGAGAAGCACATTATTGATAAACTACGTTACTCCCATGCCGGCAGCATCTTTGGCGAAGCTCCGGCACCTCCCGTTCTCACTCAAATTTCGACATCACTGCGCTTAATTGCCGGTGAAGTAGTGATCGGGCAGGGCGAGGAACGTCTTAGACGCCTTGCATTCAACTCTCGATACCTTAGAATCGGGCTTAAGAGACTCGGGTTTATCATTTACGGTCAAGATGACTCACCTATTATCCCTCTCCTGTTGTATAACCCTGCCAAGATGCCAGCCTTCTCTCACGAAATGCTCCGTCGCAAAATCGCTGTCGTTGTTGTTGGATATCCGGCCACACCCCTTGTCAGCTCCAGGGCGAGGTTCTGCGTATCCGCGGCTCACACCAAAGATGACCTGGATAAACTCCTCGCTGCATGCGATGAGATCGGAGATATCCTGCAGCTCAAGTTTTCCAGTGGCCTCGCTGGTGGTGCCATTCCTTTGGCGCCCGGTGTGACGCCAGAAATGGAAAAGGAGCGGAAGCAACGTGGTACCTTGGTCACTGTGCCTCCGAGATGGCCGTTGGAAGAGGTCTTGAAGAGAGGTGTCAAGGACGTTCAGGTCCCTCTTAGATAACATTAAACAATACTCGATGGGCTTAGGTTTCCCCTGCATGGCGAGTTTATGGTTTCCTGCAGTCACGTTTCTGGAATGTCTTTTTTCTAGGGATTAATGTATAGATACTTTACCTCTCCATCTCTTGTCAGCAAGGGGATTGAGGATATAAGTTGTGAATGCATTGTTTCTTTTTCGTTTTTATCTAGGAGTTTGCTTTTTCCTTTTCTCTCTTTCATGGACCAATGGCTTCTTCAGTCGATAATTCGTATTCCCCTACCCCCCCTAATGATTTCTTTGAGGAGTTTTTTATCTTTCTTTTTATAGATTCGATAACTTTTTCTTTCTTTCTTTTTTACTCTCTCGGTGAGAACTGAGATGCGACAGCTTTTAGGGCTGGGAAAGCGGCCGAAAAAGAAGTCATAATGTTTAAAAAAAGAGGTAGTGACTTTAATCATTGGGAGATTGGGAATTGGAGGATTGTTTTCGGATTGTATAATTATCTAGACGGGATTGGGCTTTTTCTGGCTGGTGTTTTTTTCTTTTTTTTCTTTCAGGAATTCGGGGGATGTTTCTGGGAAATATTCTTACTTTCTTTTTCCCTAATATGCTGTTTATCGGTCGTCTCCCAGCACGCTTCCGGGGGATACCACGCTGATTCCCTTACGCCGGTTCAAAGTCCCCGAGGATGTCGAAGAGGGGTGTGGTGGAAGGATATAGATGGATGAATGAAAGATTTTCCTATCATTCTTCTATCATACTCGAGTACAGCATCAGCTAAACGGATGGATGGATGGATGGATGGAAATGGAGGAGAAGGAGGAATGATCGACGAGGTTTGCATTTACTCGAGTAACGGTTCCCTACCGGTAGTCTTAATGTGCTGTGCGATACTTCTTCTGCAAGTAACAGAGCATCTCAACGGATTGAGCGACAAATCAATGTCATATTACGAATGTTACTATGCTTTTTTCTTTGCTTTTCTTTTCTCCGCTGTCTGGATTTGTGTGTGAGAGGAGGAAGTTGAGTGAGGGTGGTCGATGCCGGCACTGTAGGTGCGGATCGCTTCCCCGGAAATCCCGGTATGGTAACCGCGAAGTCATGCAATAGATGCCCGTTCCGTCAGTGCGAACTGGCTGGCTGGCTGTGCGTCGTACGTACGTACGTGATGTTCTCTGCGAGATATATGACTGCAGCCCGGATCTCTACCATACTCTCTTCAACAGTAGCGTACAGGTATTGTATTCTTCTCATAGGGTAGACTACGGTGCTGGCACCTCCCCATCCATTAAGTTACCATAATACCGTATTATTATATAACAATCAAATCCTTCCAGAATACGGACCCTCCCCCTCCCATCCCCCAATAACCAATCAGACATCTGTTCCTGAAAACGCTTACGGTAAGCGTACCGTAGGTAGCACGATCTGTTGCGCTGGCGACACTTACTCACTCACCATCCCATCTCACACATGCTTGTGTAGCTGCCACTGTACCCTATCCACCGGCGTGACGGGATAAGCTGCATTTATTTTTTTCCAAATACTCCTAGTGCGTTGTACTCGTACTGGTTTACTTACCAATTCGTCGAAGAAGAAAAAGAAAGAAAGAACTTAGCCTCGCGAACACGGGCTTTTTTAGAGCATCTTTTGGCAGCCTTGTGTTTGGGGCTTGCGATGGCGTAAGGGTTGGTTTTGCGTCACGTTTTACGAAGGGAGGGGGGGGGATATTTGCACTTGGAGGCGCCCTCGGGTTGTCATACTAGGCTGTGAGTTTATTGTGTAGGAGAGAGACGGATGGAGTGTTGCACTTGTTCGATGGAGGATGGATGGGCTTCGATCCATGGTACTCGAGTTATGTTTTTGGGGAACGGTGAGGGGGAGGGAGGGAGAAAGTTGGGTGGGTGGGTGGGTGGTTTGCTTCGCTCTTTGAGCAGTTTCGTATCGTTGCGTTGCGTAGCGATATTCTTTCGTTTCTCCTGTCAATCCAACTGATTCAGCCCTCGTAGCATTTATGGCGTGCTACTGTACTCGAGTACTGTACCAGTATTACTCGAGTATACTCGGATGGGGGAGTTGAACACCGTCGTAATTGGTCAAACCGCCATAGATACCCCTTGTAACAAACGAAGAATCGCAACCCGCTCACGGAATTTCCTCTCTTTGCAATCATTATGGTGCGGTAGGCTTAGCTGCAGATCAGGAACGACGGCTTATTGGGGAGTTCACGGACTAGCCCTGGTATCCGGGTACTGTACAAGTACTACCAGTACTCTACAGGTAGTATGATGATACTTACTAGCACTAGTGCAGGGCTAGCACCGAACAAGCACTTCTCAACTTCACCTATACCCGAGTATTGTACTTTATCCACCATAGCCAAGCTGCCTACCATGAGTATTATATGATATGGTAGCACCACAGACGAGTCCTATGAAGAAACATGTCGGAGCCTAATTGGGCGCATTGTAAAGTCAAGTTCGGTTCGTAACTTTCTTTCCTTCTTTCCCGTCGTATAAGATGGAATGAAGGGGAAGATCCGTCGGCCGATCTAGAGGTGGTAGTGGTTGAAGCCGATGGGTAGTGTGAGTCTTGATTAGCTTGGGGGGGTATGGTAGGTCATATCGGAATGAATGGAAGCAGGGAGGGGGGGTTTATTCATTGTGTATTGGTTTACTATTGCTATCGTTTCGCGTTGAGCTTTCTTAATCTTGAGCGGTGAAGTCAACGAGAATGGCAAGTCCTTACCTTCCACCCCACAAGGTCTTCCTCCTTTTCCTCCTCCCGGCTATGGGATAGGTTAGCTTCGTGACCGCTTTGTTCCCTTTTCTTTTCCATCCCCGAACAAACGAATAGATATGGCGCTCGGGTAGGGTGGAATACCATGGGCTACCGTATCGTACCAGTAGTTGATACTCTTTTTTTTCGTGGATAATTAGACGAGCCACTGATCCTGTTTTTTCTTCTTCTTTCCATTTTTGTTTTTCTGTTTTTTTGTCTCCGTTTAGGCGGCTGTGTGAAACGATTACACCGCGGGAGTCTGGGGAAGAGTTAGTCTTGTCTTGAAGTTTGGCATTACGGAATTTGGGGCTGTCAGAATAGCGTGCTCGACCGCAGCGATGGCCTTCCTTGTCCCGGTCTGGTCACAGGCTGAAAATGCGGGGGGTACCGTGATCTGACTCGGGCGGAAGCCATGTCTACCTAGCCGCAGTGAGAGGAAAGCGTAAAGGCCCCGATGTGGCCATCGATGCGGTGTAATGAAGGCAGTGGTTATGGAACCTCGCGGTACTCGAGTAAGTCATCATCGCCGCCATCATGGAAATCTATACGCCAGACGTGATCGTGAAGCTTTTGGTGGAATGAGCTAAACCAGCCGGAATGAAAGAGATAGATGAAAAGTGGAGGGAGCAATAACAATAATAGTAATAGTATTTATTATATGATTGGTTCTTTTTGTTTTTTTCTTTTTGTTTTTTTCCCTCTTTACTCGGAGGAGGGAAGATGGTGGGATGACTTGAATAATGGCTAGAAGAACGGACCTCTTAACGATCGCTCCCAACCTAGGCAACCACTACTATTCTGTGAGCGGTGATAAGTTAGTGGTTATGCGACCCCAGTTGCACGGCATTTAATCAAATCTCACCCACCACCACCACCACCACCACCACCATCACCATCACCTGAAGAATTACTGTATTCGAGGATAGGTGAAACCTTTTCTACGTGTGTGTGAGTGTGCGAGTTTGTGTCCAGGGACAGGGACAAACATGGATGTGGGGTGAATGCGAGCTAGCTATAGTACGAGTAGACTGGAGAATCCAACTGGTTTGCTGGTTTCCTCATCCTAGCCCAGACAGCAACCCGTGAAACACTTTTTTTGTTCCCTTTCGTTGCCCTATCGGCGGTTTGCCCATGGTACCCGATGCTGGAGGCTTGCTCACGGCTAGTGATAGGCACCAGATATCAGAGTCGTGTGGGTGAATGTGTGTGGGTTTGGTTTTACGATTATGGGAGGGGGGGGGGAGCGTGGAGGGAGGCATTGCTGGATTTTTTAACACCACACAACTACCGTATTGTACTGTAGTTAGACTACTGGTATGCTACTCTACTGCCAGGCAAAAAAAAAAATGTGGTATAAACTGCTGGGGTTTTGCTCCTCCAGTTCCTTCACTTCTTCTCCTACTCATCCGCCTCCCCCATTTCCGCCCTACATTCTTTCCCGCCCACCCCTCTCAAACCATCGGTTCTCTGACCATTCAAGATCAACAACACTCACTCGTCTTCTCCCCACATTATTCTTCTTCTAGCGAGATTAACTTTAACTTTGCAGATCTTCAACTCTTATCTATAGGGATCAGGCGTTCGCTATTTCATTTATTTTATCGTTATTATTGCAGGGCCTTGTCCACATTTAAGGCTATCATAAAAAAATGTCGTTCCCCCGTCCCCACACATCGCAGGGCAGGCCCGGGCAATTCCAAGACGACCCCGACCCAAAACTCCAATTCGAGCTCCCTCCCTTCGACCCAGACCACCGCGGGGAATTCGACGATGGACCTCGAGGGCGGGACTTCCGCCCACAGATCCATCAGGATAACCCACCTCGTCACAACCCCGTGCCAAACACCTCGGCGCTGCGGCGGGCCTCTGTCGGAAGGGGTCTGCACTCGGAAATGTCTCGCGGCATGCCGGGGGCTTTCCCAGGAGGTGGTATCGGCGGTGGCGGTGATGGTGGTCAGAGGGGACCGGTAGTCATTCATGGGCGTCTTCCAGAGACACGATACGTTTGCTTCAAGAAGAAGACTAGCGGGACCTCTTGGGTTAGCGGACGGACCGTATGTGAGCATATCACCAAGGACATCGGTCCCGAGGCTACGGAGAGGCGGATTCGAAGACATGAAAATCCCGGAATGGGGATATTGGCTATTCTTAGTAAGATGGCGTATTACCAACAACAGCACATCCATCTCCAGGAGGATAGGCTGAATGAGGCGGAGAAAGGTCCAGGATGGCATTGGGTCATCTCCGCCGTCGGTAAGGAAAAGGCTACGAAGGCATTCTGGGCAATCTACTCCCGTTTACCGAAAAGCCAGAAGGGCCACCAGCACCGGCACAGCATCGGCGGCCCACTGCCCCAAATGCCGCTTGGGGAACCGAAAGGACGACCCAGCTTGCACCAGCAGCACCAACATCACCATCAACGCCAAGGCCCTGACTCATTTAAAGTCCAGCCAGTTCAGATCCCACCGCCCCCTCGTCCCAGCAACTTTTTGAGCACGGACCTACCTAGTCCCCCGGGCGCATTCCCGCAAAATTTATACGGGGAAGAGGAGCCATTTAGGTCGGGGAACTTTGGCGGTGTTCCACCACTTGAACCTCCGAGAGCACCTTCAAGACCCAATCCGAATTTTGATTTTAGTGATGGACCTAGGATTATAGAGGTTGAACCTCCGATCCCTGGGGCGTTCCCGCAGTATCAGGACCACCACCAGCAGCAGCAACAGGGCAGGGAAGAGTCTTTCTTGAGGTCGAACATAAGGAATCACTTGCCGCAGGGGACGTTTGGCGCGGTAGATTCTTATTCAAGCGTCCCTGGGAACAGGTCTTCTATGCCTGCTATGCCTGCTATGCCTGGCGGTCTGGGAGACATGGGAGGCGGTGGCATGGGCGGTGGTATGGGAGGTGGTATGGGAGGTGGTATGGGAAGTGGTATGGGAAGTGGTATGGGAAGTGGTATGGGAGGTGGTATGGGAGGTGGTATGGGAGGTGGTATGGGAGGTGGTATGGGAAGTGGTATGGGAGGTGGTATGGGAGGTGGTATGGGAGGTGGTATGGGAGGTGGTATGGGAGGTGGTATGGGAGGCGATATGGGGGGTGGAATGGGCGGCGGTATGAGCGGTACGGGAGGCATGCCTAATGGGATGCCAGGAGGCATGCTTGGTGGTATGCCCAATGGCCTCCGCGGCGACCACCCCCCACGCGATGCAGACATCCATGACCCCCGAGGCCGCGACTCCCGCCCAACCTCCCAACAAATGCCCCGCCATGACCCACCCATGGACCCCCACCGCTCGAACTCCCATCACCGAGGACCCTCCTCCCAGCCCCGCCGCCGCCGCAATTCCAGCTTCCACAATGAATCCTTCCCCCCTTATCGCGAGTCCCACCACCCTCGTCGCGGCCGCGCCGCCACAAACCCAAACCGTGCAACAATGGATTCTACATACTGGGACTCCGACAAAATGCACCGCACAGACGAATGGGTTGATTCAGTCAGCAACAGCAGCGGCGTAGGCTCCACAAGCAGCAGCCAAGACGGTTATCTAGGCGCCAACGGCGACTACGTCCTCGACACACCACCCCCCGCCCGCCGCCGCAGCATATCAGTCCACGGCGAGCGCGAGCGTGATCGGGAATACCACCACCCGCTCCATCGCGGCCGAAGCTTCAGAGAACCCCATCGACACAGCACTTACAACACTGGCGCTGGACGCCCGGCGATAGAATACGAATACGCTGTCGCACCCCGAAATGGTGGTTCTGGGGGAAGGCCAAGGTACAGGACCGCGTATCACGGTATGGATAGCCGCCAGCGTAGAAGGAGTCTGAGTCGGAGACGGAGCGGGTACTTTGGGGACAGAGGCCATGAGTATGAGTATGAGAGCGCCGATGATATTGCCAATGGGATGAGGGATCTGAGGATTGATAGCGGGCGGGGAGAAGGCAGAAGGCAGTCGATGTATGAGAGGTATATGGATACGGGGATGGTCGCGTACGTGTGATTGACTAATGTCACAAGTCGTTCTATTTCATTTTATTCGAATGTTTATTTAGTATATCTTTTTCAACCAGGACTTTTTTTTCTTTTCTTTTCTTCTTTCATCTTCATCTTGTTCAACGTATTTAGTGCACCATACCTATTTCTTCTCTTATATTATTCCTTTCTTCCCCACTTCGATCCTTGTACACAATCTTTTCATCCAGTACACAACCGTACTTTTTCTCCATTGAACCACACGAGGTATCATAAAAAGCGGGAAATAAAGAAACCTTCCTCCCCTTCCTCACAAGTGAGTTCTTTATTCAATTGGACGCTCGATTATCCCCCATCCATCATTGGTCCGCGCATGACAAGCCGTGTCTTCCATGCCCGCACGAGCGATTGGCCGAACATGCCGTGATAGCAGACAGACGGACAATGCCCAAGTACCGTACAGTACCGTACCAATCACGCCAATTCCGAAAAAAGGCAAGATGGTGAAAAAAAATACAACACAATACAATACAAGGTCATCCGCATCCCAACATCGCATCCATTCATCCCGAGAATCATTCGTGCTCACTTTATTCTAAGTGCAGTGAGTTAAATAGCGTGAATACCGTTGGGGCCTATCGGTTGTGACGGTTCTCAGCGATGCTGGTGGCTATTTGCTCATTGGGAGATGGATGGGTGATTTACGTGCTGTACGGTGCTGTGCTCATCGTACCATATTTCTGGTCGGAACAAGAGTGGATTGTCATTGCTCTGTGCTGTGCTGTGCTGGAGGTGTGGATCACGAATTGTGTGAGACCTGCCCAGTTGGGATTTGTGCTTTGTCCCTTTTTTTTTTTTTTTTCCTATCATAATATCTCCTCTGATTATTATAGAGTAGATTAATTAATCTCACAAGAGGTTCCTTCGGACTGGCTGCTGTCGTCATCTTCGTATGGCAAGTTGGCGTCGTTTAAGTTTGAGTGAGGGTGCTGTTGCAGTTGTGCTTGGAGGTTTGGCTTGGGGAAGATCCAGCACTCCCTTTCGCTTTCCTCGAGTGCCGGTATGATACCATACTCGTAGAGGGCTGGAGCGCTGATGGTGGTTAGCGAGTGATACACTGTGATCTGATTGGCTAAAACACAACCACTAAAATTTAATACGAAAAAACCATCTTGTTTTTTAAAATAATAATAATAATAATAATAATAATAATAAAGTACAGATTAAAACACGGCACACTTTCACCCTCCATCCCATCAACCCGTAATTCCCCCAATTCGCCACACCTTTTACCCAGGCTCTCCGGCCCACTTGCAAATCCAACCGTGCCAGGATTTCAGGATATGCCATTCGGTTTCGCTGTCGCTGTCGCGGCGGTGGCGGCTGTGCTCCGGTTCTTGAGGTGTAGGCCTATGGGGTCGTCGAAGCGAGAGACACGCTTTGGGGGGATGACGACGTCGTCGAATTTGCGTGCGGGTTGGGGTTTCGGTGGGAGGGAAGAGGTGGTAGCTGTGGTGAGGGGAGGGGGAGGGGGAGGGAGGTTTGGGGGGGATGCGGTCGCGCGACGGGGGACGTAGCGGTCATAGTCTCGTGGGAGGTTGTGGGTGAGGTTTCGCTCCCTATCTCTGTCTCGTTCGCGATCCCTGTCGCGGTCCCTGTCTCGGTCACGGCCTCTGTCTCTGTCTCTGTCTCGGTCCCTATCTCGGTCCCTTTCTCTGTCTCTGTCCCTGTCGCGATCCCGTTCCCTTTCTCGCTCGCGGTCTCTCTCCCTTTCCCTTTCCCTTTCCCTATCACGGTCCCGCTCCCTCTCCTTCTCCCTCTCCCTGTCTCTCTCACGACCCCTCTCCCTGTCCCTATCGCCATCCCTCTCGCGCTCCCTCTCAACAGGCACAGCCACAGCATCACCCATATCCGCATCCCCATCCCTATCCTTCCCCTCCTTCTCACTTCTCTCCTCTTCTTCATCCCTCGGCAAAAGCCCCTGCTCCTCCATGATCCCCCTCAGCATCCCTTCAATCTCGGCCCTCCGGGCGGCAAGTAGTTCTTCCACTGCCTTCTCTACATTAGAATACGTATCCCCCCGTAAAACCGTAGCTTCGATCAATTCCGCCGCTTTCTTCTTATCCCTCGCAAGCAAACTTGGGTCGCGCTCGATCTCTGCACTAGCGATTTTCTCGAGGGCGGTTAGGAAGTGGAGCTTTGTGTCCTGTAGAGTACAGTTGCGTTAGCGAAGCTAAAGGGGAGGGGGACGGAAGGGGAATACGCTATCGGTAAAAGATTGGTAGATATCTTTTCGCAAAGAGTCGAAATGACCGCGCTTTTTGTAGGTTGTTTTGAGAAGATCAATTGTGGATTTCGCTTCCTCGGAGAGGATTGGTGCGGGAGGTAGGGATGGGTGCGGTGGTGGAAGGGTGGAGGTTGGGCGGTGGCGGTGGTGATGCCCATTTGTCAGGGGGGAGTTGGAAGGACGGTAGGAGTCTGACATTGGGTGTTGTGGCTACCGGAGGAGAGGCGGAGGTGGGGAGGCGGTCAGGAGCTTAATAGAGCTTTGGGAACCGACGGGTTGAACCGAGATTTACTCGAGTAGACGTGTCGGTGATGACTAATATGTCTCAGATCGATCTTCGCATGGAATGTCACTCGGTTCCCCTTGTTCACTTGGTGAGGTGGAGGGTGGAGAGCATTGGAGGATTGGGGAATCTTACCTACACCTCTAAGACTTGCAATTCTATTGAGCATCGGGATCATAGGATATCATAGGCCATTGGATATGCCCTGTAACTTAGTTCTTGATGGTTTGACTCTCTAGCCTTATGTCATTGTTATTGAGTGCCAACTCCTCGACTCAGAATTCACCTGTGTCTATCTCTCCACCTGCAGATATTTCGGTAAGATATCATATTATGATAGGTTTCTCAAGCACCCCAATTCCTGCGGCTATCATGGACATGGCCTTTTAGCACCTTTTTTCCATGCAGGGCCAACGGTGTTCAAAGAGCCTCACTAAAAAACGCCCCCCCTCGGCTTGGCAGGTCTACAACCAAACCCGTGCAAAATATTTCTTCCTCCTATCAGATCATACCCCAACTGTCAATTGAGCTCCGACGGCTCCGCTCCTTTCCCCCCGCACCGAAGGTCAGCTGTCTCCGTTCATTTGCCCTTCTGCGCCAAATTTTCCGGGCGGAGAATCCCCTCCTTATGAATGGATTACACTCCGTCTCAATCTCCTCCAGCAAGAGATTCCGAGTATGTCCTCCGGGCACCCGTGGGAGGGTACTATCCTTACGGCTCGCCCATAGTGCCCAATCTGCCACGCGCCCGGCTCCGGCTCCACTGCAATCTCCATCAGCGGCCTCGAAGGGGTCCGGGGGGAACATCCCTGATAATTCCAGGGTGCTTTCAGCACTTGATACCAGCATCACGGGACTCACTCCAATCGCCATTTACCGGCGCGATCCACCCATTAGAAAACTCCTACAGGCGATAGAGAATAGGTCTGATCCGGCAATATGGCACCACTTCATGCAGGCACATAATCAAGGTCTCACGTATCAATTGTCTGCCGGGGAGTTCTCTTCAGTATTGCTTTCGATACGGCCGAGACGGTACCTGTCATTACGACCTCGGCATTACATTGACGAGTACGGCCGTGGACAAGTTCACGAAGTGAATTATAGTTTTAAAGAGTTCCGGTCGAGGTTGAGGATTGTCACCCAGGCGATGCAGCAGCAGGGATACCAATTGGGCATTATCGAGTACTGCCACTTACTGGACTGCGCGAGGGCCGGCGGTGACTTGAGTATGGCGGATGATCTATGGCGTCAGATTGTCGCCCGGGAAGACCTGACGCCGGATACGTGGACTTATAACTGCTATGTTGCCGCAAAGATCGGAACCATAGCTATCGGGCGGGGCGTCCGCATGTCCCAATGGACGATGCAGAGTCGGCAGACTGTAACTGCTAAGCGCATGCGAGCGCTCGCATCACAAATGTACGCCCAAATGATCCGGGAGGCTGTGCATCCCAATAGCATGACCTTCGATCTCCTAGTCATAGCCATGTCTCGCGCGGGAGATATCGGGGGCGTAAAGGAGCTACTGATGAAAGTCTGGGGTGTGAACGTCAATGGCCTGGCGAGATCCGATAACAATCTGGGTTCTGAACCACCTACCGTGTCCCCAGACTCGGTCATATATCCCACGCAGCACACACTGGCCACGTTCTCAATGTGCTTCGGTGCTAACAACGACATCGAGACAGCGATCAGAGTCGTCGACCATATCTCCCGCAGATACAAAGTCCCAATTTCACTACCCGCCTGGATCAACCTACTGAACTGGACATACGCTCTGACTCGCCCCCCCGCGCCGGTCATGCCGGCTCGATCCGTGCTGCAAACCTGGGAAACTATGAGGGCACCGCCATACAACGTTAACCCGACAATAGAAATGTACGACTACCTCGTCCGGTCTCTCATCTCACGGCAATACGTCTCCCCCGCAGAAGACAAGATGAAAGAAGCGGTAGAGATGTACGTCGACCTACTCGAGCGCTTCATAGACCTCGACAGGAAGTACGACACCGTCGTCGGAGAAACAGACCTCGACACGGCGGTCCAGCAGACCGAGGTATTGAAGGATATCGCCGTTGTCAAGAGGGAATTACACCGCTTCCGATCCATGATGCGGCGGTGGGTGGAGCTGTTGATTCTGGGCAAGGGCATGAACACAAAGTACACGCGCAGGAAGGTACCGGATATCGTGGCAGCGTGGGCCTACTTCTTGGGCGGGAAGGCGATTTACACCATTGACTCGGGATACATCGTGCTGGAGCTTGGGCAGGAGAGAGAGTGGACTCCTATACCAATTCGGCGAAGAAAGAGGCCGTGGATGCCGTTGGGGACTGGGGCTAAGGAAGTGGATTATTTAGATTAGATGGGGGGTATACCTAGATTTCTCTCTTTTATTGCCATTGGGGTTAGTTCAGCTGTGCATTTTTTTGCGTTTAGGTGAGAAATTGAATGGTCTCTTGAACCCATCAAGCATGTTTTTTTGGTGGCAATGGGAAAGCCTAGAGGTATTGCCCAACTTTAAAACAAACGCCAACCCAAACATTGACCCGGAATATCAAAACTATAATATTCTAATTAATACCCCATCCCTAAGCACCTAACCTAAACCCACCTAACCTAAACCCAGCTATACCCAAAATACCAACTATACCCCCCAACAAGCAAACAACTACCCAAAACCGGCACCAAGCTCATCTCAACAGCAGCCCAGATCCACAAAGTCCCGACCTGCGGTGCCCTCTTCATGACAGCATAATACCCCGTACGATTAACCGCCCTGACAAGCCAGCACCCGGCAAGCACGCTTATCGCGAAAAACAGAACCTGCACGGAAAGCCAATTCCTCCTGGAATGGAAAGCGCAGTTTATAGTAAATATCACTACATTCAGTTAGTCACAAGATATATATATATATATATCCAGCAGAGCTGATGGGAGCGGTGTCACACCTGGTGAAGCTTTAATCACCTTCCAAATGATCCCGTTCAAGTCCACTTCCTGACGGTATTGGAGGTGAACTAGGTAGTCGAAGGTGCCCAGTAACATGCAGAGGGGAATGGTGAGGGAGAATGCTTGCATCCCTGGACCGAAGACTTCTTCTTCGGTTAGGGTTGGGGCACCGGAGGCGTCCTGTGGACGGTGGGAGTCTATTATGTCTATTAGGGTTGTTCCGGATGGGGCGTTGCGGGTTGGTGTTTCCATGGGGATCTCGGTGTATGTTATTGGTGGGGTACGGGTGCGGGTCGGGGTTTTCTTTGTTCGGGCCATTGTTGTAAGATAGGGAGTTTTTGTGATGGTTGTGGTTGTGGTAAAAGTACTCGAGTATCGTAGCTGTTTGGTTGTGATGAGCTTCAGAGGTAGAGTGAGGAGCTAGACTAGGGATGTCTTGGTCAAGATCGGGTTGGGGCTCAAGTGGCAACTTCCCCTGACTCGTGCTCGACAACCTTGAAGCTTCACTTTTGCAACCATCACCCCGCTCGCCCAAGGGCCCAGTCCCTTCCAACTGCCGCTTTCGAAAATGTTCACCATCCTCACCCTCTCCCTTCTCCCCCTACTGATTTCCGCTCTATGGTATGATACCCCTCCTCCTCTTCCCTCACTTCTGCAGGCTGACAGCAGTGCCCAGGCTCTACGCAACCTCAAACCCAACCCCCCCACCATCTTACCTCCAAAACACCACAATCCACCTCCTCATAGCGCACCCGGATGATGAAGCAATGTTCTTCGCACCAACACTGCTAGCCCTAACATCCCCCTCTCTAAACAACACCCTCAGCGTCCTCTGCCTCTCAACCGGCAACGCTGAGAACCTCGGCCCCATTCGAGAAAAAGAATTGATAGCCAGCTGCGAGATGTTAGGCGTGGATAGAGCGCGGGTTCACTCTTTTGATCATCCGTACTCAATCCTCCCCTCCCCCTCCTCCACACAAAGCTTACAAACGATGGCGAGAGCAGTGAACTACAAGACAGCATGACAAAAACCTGGCCCGCCGCGAAGATCTCAGAGATCCTCTCGCAGCACAGCCCCTCTGCGATCGTAACTTTTGACGAGTCCGGCGTCTCCTCACATCCGAATCACATCTCGCTGCTACGCGGAGCCAAGGAGTACGTTTCTACGAGGGGGACCGGGACGAGGTTGTTCACGTTGACCAGCGTGCCCATTTGGAGGAAGTATGCTTTCTTTCTTGATGCGATTGCGGTGAGGTGGTGGCTGGCGGGGGAGGGGGGGGGGGGGGCGCGGAGAGTGGTGTTTGTTAGTTCCTGGGCGGGATATGTTAAGGCAAGGAGTGCCATGGTGCAAGCGCACGTTAGTCAGATGAGGTGGTTTAGGTGGGGGTGGATTGGGCTTAGCCGGTACATGATTGTTAATGATTTGGTGGAGAGGTGATACTGTAGGGCGGTGTGTGTGATTGTTGGCCTCACCTCTGCCGCGTTTCTGCGAGTGTTGTATCAGACCAAAGTTTCAGCACCTATGATAATATTATCATAATATTATTACCATACGGGGTTATAGATGTGATATATAATAACCTACGCTCCAGACTCGGGACCGAGGCTTCCCAAGGGTTCTTGACCCCATGAGCCAAGATAGCCTTTCTCGTATGATATGATATGATAAACTAACTCCCGTGCCTAATGCCTCAAGTGCATCCTCACCGGGGGGTGGGGTGGGGGGCTTGCTATGATATATCGAGCACTCGAGCACCCACTCGCATACTAGTCCTACGCTAGTTCCGAGATGGCAAGGGGGGAAAGAAAGAAAGAAAGAAGAGAAAAACACCATGATAAGGGCTTCCCAGGAGTGGGCAAGAATTGTAAGTAATGCGCCAGGCTCTTGAGGAGTCCACGAGTAGGTACACTTTTACATCATGAACGGTCACCCGAGTCTGAATCCCGATCTTAGGGTGGAAATTATCGGACGATGGTTTTCGGGTTTCTTGTGGATACCGCCGTTATGTACATTCCTCACAGACCCCCTTCCTATCTATGGTCTGCTCGCTATGCCATTGCGCTATCATACCTTCTCTCCACGTCCTGTTCGTGCCGTACCTATACAGTACCTTACCTTGTCATACAAACCGTGACATGACATACGAAAAAGAGAGGAAATAGCACATCGGGGTAAAAATAAGAAAAGAAAAGAAAAGAAAAGAAAGTAGACCAAACCGAACCAGAGGCAAAACGGGAAAAGAAGACGATATTAACCCCCCCCCTTTCGCACACACAAATACCAATACCTACATACAGTACAGTACTCTACGATTACAACCAACCCAACCCTCTACAAAGCACGGCCTACCTACCTCCCCCTCTAGACAGCCGCCCATCCAACTCCGCCGACTCCACCCGCGCCCGATGCGCCAGAAAGCCCACGGGAGCGCCAGGATTATGACTAAACTCCCTGGGTGTTTCCGGGGAGCTGCTGTTCCGTGCCCCGTGCTGCTGTTCGAGCTGTAACTGCGCCACTCTTTCACCCCGCTCAAGTCTTCCGGCTTGATGACTCACCCAGGAATTCACGCCGCGGAATCTTGGCTCGCTGTCGAGGGAGGAGCGAACGCTTTTTGCACCGCTGGGGGCTTCCGATGTGGTTGTTGTTGTCCAGGAGAAGCGCGAGACCATTATTGGCGCGTTGCGCGGGGTGGTGTTGGATTCGGGGATTGGTGGCGGGGGGTATATTTGCGCGTATGATGGTTGTCGATTGTTGGTGGGGGTGGTGGGGGGTTTCCGAGATTCGACGTTTGAGATAGAGGAGGATTGTGAGGGACTCAGGAGGAGGCGGTCTGTGGTGTAGACTGGCGGTGGGATGGGTAGTTCCTCTTGTTCTAGGGAGGAGGAGGAGTCCACATCAGAGGCTCCGTCATAGAAGGTTCCTTTTTCGTTGGCTGGGGATGGCGAACAGACTGGTCGCCCTTCCGGGAGGAGGAGAGAGGTGCGGATTAGGAGGTGTTTGCGGGATTGGCGGCGCCCCACGGAGGTGTCCGGCGGTGCTAGTGCTGCTGGTGGCGGAAAGGGCATTCCGGGAATGGAGTACTCGCGCTCCATACCTGGTCGTGCACTACTGCCACCGCCGAAGATTGCGCTTTTCGGGTATACTGAGGATTTCTCGTCGTACACCGTGTCCCGGAGTCTGTGTGCACCATAGTGTTTCCAGTGCCCAGAGTTGGCTCTTCGGAATATTCTGCCCTTGGTCTTGTATAGCCAGAAGGCGATTGTTACTATGAGTATTAACGCAGCTATAGGTTTCAATTGAGTTAACTGTTGTATCATGATGCATCATTGCATGTAGCAAACATACCGGTTGCTCCCCCAGCTATCACCAATTTTTTAGCAACGGTATAAGAGCTCTGCGACGAATTGAGGGTGGCGTTATCACGTCCACCGGGCTAAGACACATTAGCATCATACCCGATCACTCTTCCATGAAACAAATATTCCCCCCTCCTTTCCAGACAAAAGCTAGTTGAACACCCTCCCCCCCAATCGGCCGGAAATTAAGCTTAAAACACAAAATAGGCGGGGTTAAACTGACCAAAGATTTATCGGAACTATCCGCGGAGTGGACCAAATCCCCCCCCTCCGTCTTTGAATCCCCATCGCTATCCTCATTCCTGTCATGGCGAGCCATAATATCATGATGCAGCCCAACCGCCTCACCAATAGCCCTCTTCAGCGACTCGGAATTCTCTTCCCTCTTCCCTAATATCACAACCATGTTGCCGTCTGCCTCCTCTACCACCGGCGAGTGCTCCACTGGAACAGCCGAAACCGAAACGATGGACAGCCACTCTGCGATGTATGCTAGACGTAACTTTTTGGAAATGAACATGGCGAATTGAGCAGTCAAGCTGTCGCGATTTTATTGTTATTATCTCCTTCCTTCCTTCCTTCCTTTATTGTTTAGATGAGAATTTTCTTTCTTTCTTTAAAACCGGTTCTTGGTTGGTTTGATCGTTCAAAGATGTATGACGGTCCGGCCGTGGGGATTTATTATGCCTGGAAAGGAATGGGATGGGATGGGATGGGATGGGATGAGGGGGAAGCAAGGAAGGATCGAAAAGTATTATAATTATAAAAGTGCAATGCGAAGTAGGATAGCCCTAAAGGAAGGAATGAATGAAGGGAAGGAAAGAACAGGAGAAAGAAAGAAAGAATCCAGTCTTTTCTAGGATCGAACCGGTCGAGAGAATGTAAGAAGAGGGGGGGAGGAGGAAAGTATAGGTAGGGGAAGGAGGTGGTAAGCGGAAGGAAAAGAGAAGAAGGAAAGGAAAAGAGAGGAGGATGATAAAGGCTAGAAAGAGAGGTGGAAATCACTCTAGGGAATAGAGAACAGGGACAACAATTCAAACTAGAACCTAAAGCGCCCTCCCCACACTGCAATACCGGTACTTGCCCGCCCGTCCGTCTACACTACATTACAGTAGTTACTGTGCAGTACGGTACGCCGCTACGATACAAGCGCAGTATCAAGTTACAATATCCTACACAGGCAACCAATTTGTATGCGCATATTCCAAGGGATACACACACGCGAAGAGGCAACTACCGTACCATAGCATATGATGATCGGGATGAGTAAGAGCATAACTCACGCTTACAACAGTGCCTATCGAGGTACCTTATATAGCAGGAAGAACCAAAAACCGACCCCATACAAAATCCGGGGGGGGGGTGTGAATGAGTGAGCGGTGGTGGTTAGTGGGGGTGGTGGGTGGGATTCCCGCGACCGTGCTGAAACGGCCTCTGTCACGGAACCCATGAAACAACGATAGAAGACTACCATAGACTACCACCCTAATACCATACCATACACCTCCTGAGCGCAGGAGAAGAAAAACCCGCCCCCCCCCGCCCCACACGCATGATTGGGTATAATATGGTAAGTGAGAAGTTATGAACGCCCCGTGTACTGTGCTGCACATAACGGCCGCTGGTACCGCTGGTACGGCGATGGTATGAGATTGAGTGAGGCTTGAGAGCTATGTTACCTTAATACTGCCGGTAGTACAGTACCGGTAACGTCCTCGCATCACCGCAAGCATTTCCGACTTGGCGGTTGGTGCTCTCTCTACTCGAGCGTACCCTCGAGTACATTGTTGTAATTCTTGTTTGAAGTTGTACTTCTTGCTTGATTGATGCTCTACCTAGGGCTATAGGGCCCTATTTATGCTACAGGAGAGCGCACTACAATCACCTATGACATGCGCTTCACGCAAGAGAAAAGAGAAAAACAAGAACAACAATACAACATAGCCGAGCGGTAAAGAGAAAGGAAACATGAGCGAGATAACCAAACTGGTATCGTGATAGAGTTTCCTCGGAAACTCTGTAGTAGTCAACTGCGTAATGAGCTCAATCGCATATTAAAATATTCTGTTGTAGTCAGTGACACATAGGTAATAGCGTACCGGTAGTCTGAAATGTTCGGTACCGGTAGGTATTTTGTAGTACGAAACCAGCAAACCTAACCGCCCACATCCAATCCCTCTTCAAGTAATAACTTTTGGCAAAGTAAATTAAACCTCCCCCATCTCACCGTATCACCCTCGTCACCAATCACCAACCGCCGTCGACACGCCACCCACCCGTTCACTCGCCCACTCGCTCTCGATGCGATCAAGTTAATCCTACCAAAAAGGGATCCTCCCCATCGTACTCCTATCCATCGCGTGAGTATGTCAAATACAAACGCCGCGTAATTCTACCAGCAGTGAGACCGTAGATCTCTAATGATCCCCCCGACGACGAGAACACATTGGCATCGCCGTCGGAAGTAAATTACAGTGCCGGTACCGTACTCGAGTACTGCATGGCATGATAAGGCAAATAGCCGGTAATTCCAAGGAAGAAGAAAGTGCTTTTTGCGGAAGCACGCTGTGCTCGTACGATACAGTGCTCGTACAGATCGATCTTGATCCGTGATAACGAGCAAGCAAGTGTAGATCTCACATGCCGTCCCGCCATGCCCTGCTGCCAGCCTTCTCATCGCTGTGCTATGATAATATTATTATAAGTTTATAATCTGATATGGTAACCGGTGCGCGGCATCATACACTTCGATGACATAGTCTATTCGAGCGCTGGTCATGCAAGCGGCGTCAAAAATATATTTATTATTTTCCCTTTTTTGCTCACAGGCAGAAGTTACAGTAGGCTTAAGTAGTCTACACTCTCCAACGGGGCCGTGACGAATACCAGGCGGTGATGAACAGGGATCGGTAACAGCTATTTTTGTTACGGTACCCTACTTTGACGGTTTCACTTTTTTTTTGCCTGCCAAATACCCCCCGGTTCGTTACGGCCTGGTATATGATACAAGTACCGTACGGTACTGTGCCGGTACGGTATTCGCCACGGCCCCGTTGGGGACTGTATTCAAGTGCCCCCTATTTCCCACCCAGTGAAACATCTGGGTACGAGTAATGAACATATCAGGATTCGAGGAATATACTCGAGTAGAAGATTCCAATGTCTATCGGTAGTGTGGGTGGTAAAATGTAGATCCCTAGATTCTCGGCTGCTCGAACATAATTTATTCCGGAGGGAACTCGTGACTCGTGAAGGGTCTAGCACGGGGACATGAATCACTCATGTTGATCGTTTTTCCTCCCAACCTTGGTGTTGTTTTTGCTGCGTTGCGGCGAAGTGCATTACGATAATTATTATGATACTGCTATCAGAAAAAATGGGGCGACTAATACTGTACGAGTAGCTGCGGGCTGTCTCCAAGAACCATTGGCATAATGCGCCGGGCAGTATTGGAATACCGAGAATACGGTGTAAGACGAGAATAACAAGCAAACTTGCTCCTAGAAACGGATTTTTCGAGGAAGAGGAGGAGGGCATTTCTCTGCGTGACCAAGTGCCGGTACGGGCAACAGGAGGGAGAAGAGGTATGTATCCACCCGGGAAACATTGCCTATGTCCGTCCGCGTTGGCGAGTCCAAAAGTGCCGCACGTCTGCCCCGGCTCTCCACGGTACAGTACCATGTTGTACTGTATCATAGTATACCGGTAGAGTGCCGCCGGGTGTATAGATGGAAACCAGATCCAAGCCACTTCGCATTGGGACACAAAGGGGAGATGTACTGTACTCCAGCAATTCGTGGGAACCTTTTAAGTCATCCTTCCCCACGCGGTACGCAAGCTGGGGCTTTCCTTCACTTGTGGGGTGTGCGCTGTGTATGATATAGTCTAAAGAAACATTCCCCAGTTAGAGTACCGGCACAGTACTGTATATACTGGTATCCTGTCCATCCTGACCCATCCCAACCTGTGATAGTCTATGTTTCCATACCCGCAAATCCAGTAAACAAAAGAGAAAACAAAAACAAAAAAACACATGAAATTCGCATTGCACTTCGCCGCCACCCGACATCGGTATTCCCAGTGAAGAGAGGCTATTGAGATAGAGATATTTCTCTTTTTTTTGCTAATATTCTTCCTACCATCTGCAGTCCCCGACCCAATCCAGCCCCAGCCCAGCCAACTCGAACCCACCCCCATGCAAACATAAAAACCCCAAATAAACAAGAACCCCACCTAAAAACCCTATATAATCGATGACGTCCAAGTACGATGTGAGATGAAATAGCAAAAAAAAAAAACCTCCCATTGTGCTTTAAAGGAAAGAAAGGAAAAGGAAAAATAGAGATGGTCAAAAAATAAGCAAAAGGAATGGGTAAATAAAACTAAAAAAGATGAAGGAAGAAGAGAGAGAAATTCATAAACTTCGTACGATTTTTGTTTTGAGAATGGTCCCCCAAAAGCCGGTAAACTGAAAAATAAAATTAAAATAAACAAATCGGAGAAGATGGAATATGAATACACCCAATTCGTAGTGAAAAGAACGCCCAGAAACAGAAAGGAAAAAAAAAGGCCCCATGATAGGAGCCAAGGTTTAGGGAGTAACAGAATCCCTCCTCTTTGTACTAATATTCAAAAGGTGTCAGGAAAATATAAACACCGCGAGAAGAGCAGGGGAACGGCCAGGAGAGAGGAGTAAGGGAAATAACGAATGAAATAGGGAAAAGGTTGTAATTGGGTGGGAAGTCTGTCTATTGCGCTTGGTTAGATATTCCAAGGGGCTCCCATGTCCGCCTCTCATCCATGCTCCTAGCAATCCGACCACCCGGTGTCAGAGGCGGCAGCAACCGCCTACTATCGCCGTTCACGTGCTCATCATCTATGTCGTCATCCCTAGCTGTCTCGTCTTTTAGACGCTGGAAGTAATCTGCTAACTCGTACTTCGGTGGAGGAGTGATAAGAGGCGGGGGAGCTACATCATAGTCAAAAGGAGGAGGATTGTGCGATGGGTAACGAATGAGATGGAGTGGCCTAGCCGCCTCATTTGGGGGTTCGGGTTGACCCGAAGATAAGTGTCCTACTTGCGTATCCACGTTCAGCGTCGGTGTTCCGCCCCTCGGCGAATTCTTTCGGGTCAGTGAAGGGCACGAGCACTGGGTGCCGGAAGATGCAATCCCAGGGTTGGGGCTATTGTACGCCGGAAGAGCTGTGTTTGCGCCTGCTGCGCGGCATGACAGAATATGTAATGGAGAGTCGATGGAGATCTCGAAATGGCGTCGCTTCCCAGGCTCGTTGGGATCAGCTTTGCTCAGTCGCATCACAATCTAATAAATGAGAAACAAAAGGTTAGTCCCCAAGATATTGCGAATAAGCGATAGCGCAGGTTACGGAAAAGAAGAAAAAATAAAGAAAAAAGAAGAAAAAGAGGGCTCGCCTTGATCCAATGATGCACTTGAATATTCTGATACGTAGTATCAAAGTGTATCCGATCCTTTTCCTTCGCATTGCAACCGGGCAACTGTACTGCAAGCTCCATCTCTGTCGGCCCAATATTGTCTTTCCCAGTAAGATCCCCGAGCAAATTATCCGACCCATTGCCTCCGTCCAGATTCCTGCCGCCAGCAACCTGCTCCCCATTAAACCCCCCCCCAGCAAGTATTCGCGCAGAAGATCCAGCGAAAGTAGAGATCGATGGTCCGTCGGCCCTCTTCTCAAACAATTGAACCTTCCGCGTGGGGTCCAGTCTATTAGACTTCTTGTTCCTGCAAGAGTACCCAATATTCTCCGTGATAAAGATTTTTATCCGGTGACACTGCACTTTCGCTAAGGGCGTAAGCTTAAATGCTATCGGTATCGTTGAACCCAACGGAAACGATTTCCCGGATATGACAATATCGTAGTGCAACTGATCCTCCCAAGTCCGGCTAATGGCGATAGGCTCTGAACATTCTAGGCTCGTCTCCGCAGGACATCGGATCAAGATTACGTCCCTCTTCCCAACCAAATTTGGCCGGAAAGCGCCGGGTCTCACTATTGTGCCTTCCAATTCATACTTGACAGCCCCAAGATCGACGTCAATAGTCTCCGGCAGGCAGCTCTCAATAGGCAGCTCAAAGTTGTAAACGTAGTCACCGGGTTGGAAGATTCGGTAGCCACGTTGAGCAACTGATACCTCATTCGGCAACTCCCCTTTGCTAAAACTCCTAGATTGTGTGAGCTGTAAAGAAAGCCTACGGTCAGTAGAACAGCTGCCCAGAGCTGGTGAGATCCCGATAGGGGAGGCCGATCGTGCCAGATGCCCTATCGCAGAAGTGATAGATGAGGTGCAATCCGAAGAGCTTTTGTAGAGCCGACACGAGTCCGCGCCATGTCCCAATTCTGCTGTTGCGAATTGTGCGTTGAAAAACGGCCAAGTGTGTTGCATAATCTCCTTCTCCTCAAAATATTCGGACTTTTTAGGCGGTATACCTGGGGTATAGCTCAGTGACTGTTTCAATACTTTCTTGAATCTGGGGATCAAGGTAGCTCTACCTTCAGGCCATTCGGTTCTAGCCCTTCCCCGGAAAGTAAGACTGACCGCCTTTATTTTTGTTGGCTTCGAAATTCTCAGTAACAAACTCCCACGTAACATCGCTGGTGCCCTATTGGAATGGTCGCTTTGGTCAAACCCTTGCAGAAATAGCATCGGCTCTGCCAGCTGTATCGTCATAGTAACTACTCCTCCACTCGTGGAAGCCTGAGGCTTCTCTGACGTCAGGGGTGCAATATCCCCATTAGCATCCCGCAAACCGCTGCTATGCCCGCCCTCGCAATCTCGTGGTGTTAATATTGCGGACGTAGGACGAACAGGAGCGGACGAATTTTTAACATGATGTGAAGGAATGCCTGAATTTCCTCCACCAATTGCCCTCCCCATTCCTGTAGGCATTGGGGGCGAAGCGGGTGGTTGAGGTGGACTCCTCCGGGAGCAAAAGGTTGAGGGCGAAGATACGGCCGAAGCGAATAACTTTTTTGCGACGGCTGAAGGGGTTCTTTGTATCCTCCGGGCAATGGACTCTGCGGAGGAATATGTAGAAGATTGTAGGGATGGTATAACCGGAGTGGATAATCTATTTCTTCGACAGTTCGTGTTACGAGGGCGATTTCGTCTGTTCGAGTGTTGTGTAGAAGTAGTAGTGGTGGCCGCCGGGCGGTGGTGGGAGTAGTTGGGCGGGGCGGGGCCGTGGACCGCTGGGGTTGGAGCTGCAGATGTCATCATGTCGGTAAACGGATCTCTCAAAATCCCGATAAATTTCAGTGGGAGTTCTCGTAATGCCAGTCAACGACAAGCAGTACGGTAGCAAAAAAAAAAAAAAAAAAAAGCTCCGTGCCAAAATTCTTCTGACGGAAAGGCAAGGGCAGCAAAGGGAGTGAGTGAGTGAATGAATGATCGGACGAAATTTGGGGGGGGAGGTTTGCAAGATGCCGCGGCAGAGCGCGCAAAAAGAGTGGGAGGGTTCAAGCCTACATATAAACTCTGTCCCGAACTCCGTTGAGAAGGGAAAGGCGCCGGCGTTTTCGTAATAAATGGAATCCACCCGAGCGAATGGTGTGGGAATAAGAGAAGAAGAAGGATGGAGGAAGGGGAATAAATGGGTGTGAATGAAGGAGAGGTTAGGTTAGTTGGGCACAAGTAAAGAGGCGTAGCAAGTGAGCACAAGTGGCACGCTGGGCGGCTTTCGGGCTTCTGGCTTCCATCTTACTTCACAAGTTTCCTGTGCTGTTGTGTGCTGTGTCGAATACCGGTATATGCGGATAACTTAGAGTACAGTATGGTACTCGTACTATTCATCAAGGATACGAAGTGCGCGGGTTAGAAGCATGATTCCCTGAGTAGCCAAATGATCCCTCACAGATGATAACCTAGCCTATCCTGCTTCCCTCTTAGAGGGATTTACTCTTCGCCCTCCAGATTGGTAGATAAACCCTTTCCTCCGTTAGTTGGACTGTCGCAGACGGGCTAGAAAGCATGCCAACATAGGCATTATCTATTTGCTGACCTTATGGCAATCTTTCCAGGCGTAGTTTACGAAACCTATGTCGACTTTTATCCCACACACAAGCTATGTTGTTCAATGCAGTAGAAGCAGACCAGACTATCATACCAGTTATTCATTGCAATATCCCTCTGGCTATGGTTGGTAAATTATGAATCTTGGACACAGCCGCCTCTACCGTGTGTGTAAGCCAGGATGGCTAGGCAAAAGAGGGAAATATTTTGCTCGACATATTAAAAACAACCAGGTTCGAGCAGGGCAGAGCAGATAAAATTTCTCTGCCGGTATGCAGAGCTGCAACAGACCCAAGCTACGATAACTCGTAGACATACACAAATCTGAGAGAAGGGTACCCGAGCAGAGTACTCGTACTGTGCAAGCAAATGTGGTGACGGAGATGGCACACGCTCCCACGCACACACACACACCTTCCATTCTGGGCCACTTCATGGGAATAATACCGGTAGAGCGGGACCGCGGATATCTGCACATTTCGGGAATTGTGTCTGGTTCTTCTCTGACAAATAACTCTGTCCTGTCCCAAGCGTGCCAGATGCCAAAATCATGTGTTATCAATCTTTTCTCCCCCGACTCCCCAACCGCTATTCCAACAATCCAGCTTGGGGGAATTATGGACGAATTTTGGAGGGGAAAAAACACGAAGGATATATCCACTCCATGCCACAATGGTACCGGTATCGACTTCACCACGAAGAGGAGGAGGCACTGTACGAGTACTCGAGTAGGGAGCATCCAGTTCTGGACCACGAGATCATTTCTTGTCGCTCCACATTCGATATGCAACCAAGCAAACGTAGAATGTCGAGCCCTGTATTTGCTAGGATGGAAGTTGTGAATGGCGGGGATGAGGTCCGATGCATTTTTTTTCTACCCTCCCTCCAACAGGCGTTGCATTTCCCCCCCACCCTATCGCTCACTTTTGTCCTCGCTCATTTCATAATTAAATTTTCGTCCCTGATTCCCGGATATGCACGGCGACGCATGACATCAGGAATGGAGGGCCGTTCTATTTCTATTCTTGCACATTACGCGCACACCACACCCCGACATCTGTTTTCCTCAATATTCAGTGGATCAAAGTGTCACACTGGCTTGATGTGGCCGTTTATCATACCAGCTCGATCGATCTGCCATGGCCCGGATTCCCCTCTTGGCGTAATGGTTCCCTGTTATAACTAGACCGAGAAACAATACCGGTATGATACTCGAGTAATAGCAAACAGGGAACACACAAAATCCTGCCAGGGTTCTGGACTATGATGGGCCAGGAGTTTCCGCACTTGTGCTCCTTTTTTTTGTGTGTGTGGGCGCCTTTTGTTCGACTGCCCGTCCATTACGATCCAACTCCAAGAAGCTACCAAGACCCAAAACCCTTTACAAATCGTGTACTTGTACTGCACCAGAACGAGTATGATGTGGTATTTGGCATACCGGCACCGGTATCATAACCCAGAAACCTGGCAAAACAGGGCTTTCCCCGAGACGACTCTTCTATCGTACCATACTCGAGTACCGGTACTCCGGGCGCATGGTAGGCTAGGGTCCGAGTTATGGAAGAGTCTCCTTTGTCCCGTTCATCCAAATAATAATAATAATAATAATTGAAGTTTACGGCGCCGTGAGAGCCCAAATCGGACCATATCTACCGGCACCGTGCCGGTACTCGAGTATGCCCGAAGATAAATCTAATGGGATCGCCGGCGTCCCACGTCAGTTTCCGAGGACTGGCTTGTCTGGTTTGCCTTGCCTCAGTCGACCGGTACCATACTCGTACCGGTACCTCTATCGTACAGGCGTCCCTTAGTCCGTTGTGTGCCGCCGCGCCCAAGAGATCTGGCGGAGAAAATAACGAGGTCCGGAAAGTATCCTTCCTTAACTACAAATACGAGTAAATCACTACGGTAGTCGCAAACTGAGACCTCTCCCACCGATTTTCCGGCGCTCTGACAGACTGAGGGAGGTCTTTTTTTAACTCTAAGACATCTACGGGTGGCATCCCTCTAACGCAACGTTGCCTTCGCTCCTCCCCGGATACTTGTAGAACGCGCTCTAAGGTAGACTACTCGTAAAACATGTTGTGTGGACCATTACCGGTGCCCGCGCCCGAGCACCGTATGGCTGTAACGAGAATATAGACTACCGTAAGTTATGTTTGCGTCGAGAAAGCATCCTGTTATCCCTGGATTCCTTCACGCCTTTTCCGATGACGAGTTTGATGACAGTGAAAAGATTACTGCGGAGGCTGCAAAAATCCGATAGCGGACAATTTTTAAACTAAAAATCTGAATCCGGGACCGTCCTATCCGACGCACAGCACTCCAGACTCCAGACTCCACGCCGCGGCGAGTGAGGAAAAAGGAAAAAAGAAAAAAAAAACACAGCTTCATCTTGGTGGTGGCAACGTCCAATGGCCCGAACTCGCGACGAATTCTCGATGGAACGAGCTCGCATCAGATGAGTATGGAACCGTACTGTATCACCCCACTCTACCATATCCTATCCGTGGAAGAGAGAGGAGAGGAGAAACCACAGTTCACCAAGATCTCGAGCTCCCGAGTTCCGTTTCCCCCCCCCCAAAAAAACCCCCCATCCAATGGAGAGAATTATGGCTTGACCTTCAATTGCCGCTAGACCCGTCAAGCCGGATTTCTGATCTTTAGGGGTTGGCTTTCGACGCGAACAATTTGCTGATCTGGAAGGGTACCGGTATTATATGGAACCAGGGAAAGTCCACCCTCCCAACGCCGACAATTTCACTTAGACTACGATTCCTTCCTTCCTTCTTCCCTCCCTCATCTGCAGTAGGGTAGACCACACACGAGCGGAATGAGTACAAAGAGGGGGTCACATCCTTTCACTTTCTTCACTCTAGAATCCGTAGAAAGTCATTTGCACCGTTATTGAGCCCATCCAAGCATCATTAAACTTTCAGATGGATCGAATGCCGTGCTCAGAGACACAGCACGGCACTGTGCGAGCACATAACGGCCTCACCATCACCACCGCCACAGCCACGAGGTACCCGTAGTACGTTACCACGGACCGCAAGCACGCCAAAACTTACGGTTCTCAAGTACAGTACAGAGCGTTGCTCAACAATCTTCACCGCAAAGCCACCAACAACCATTACAATGCCACACAGGGAAATTTGTATGATATGATACCGGTATTCCAAATGTTTGTTTGTTGTCGCCACACTCAACTCTCACCACAGCAGATTCAGGCATCATACTTGCGCAGCAGCCCATCCATCATACAACAAATCCTGCCGCACAGCATGCCGGTATCATACTTGTGCTATATCACATCCCCCCCCCTTCCCTCTCTCCCTTCCGTTCCATCCCTTCCCGCTGCACCCTCTCTGCGAATCTACGAGTACTCGTACTTGTACTCGAGTGCTCGCTCTCTAGCACCTCCCCTCTCCACTCTGCCGTGATTACAGTAATGCACTGTAACAACAGCCAAGAGATGGCAACAACGCTTGAAAGATTGTTACTCTATGATTCAGTTGCCCTGCAGAACTTACGGTACACAACACGAGGTTTGACACCCCTTCACTTGGCGAGACAACGATCCAGACAGACAGACAGACAGACAGACAGCCTACCTTACAAGTACCGTGTTGACGCCACTTGCGTGGAGGAAGGAAAAGAGAAGGGGAAAAAGAAAAGAAAAGAAAAGGGCATTTACCAGTGCCGGGATTTCGCAAAGTACGTACTTGAGTATCACGGGAAAAGCAAAAGAGAGAAGAAAAAAACAAAAACGACGGAGAAAAAGATCACTTCAGCTACGGTAAGTTACTCTCGTACCGCATACTGGTATCATACCGTCAAAACAAGAAAAAGAAAACGGACCTTTTCATGCTGCTGGTCGTTTCAATCGTGAAGAATACTTCATCCCCGTAGCAAATTCCGAAACTCCAGAAGCATCGGCAAACCATAAGTTGAGTTTCGGGGACCCGAAGCCACCTGCACTTTGACACAGTTGCTCAAGTAAGGTTGTTGTTTTTCCGACGGTCGGCAGGTGAACGTGGAAGGCAAATCACCAACCAACCGGACACAAGGAATCACACTAACCTACGATACTGTGCTCAACCACCGGAGAAGGAGAATCCACTTCATTTCCAGCGGCAGAAATAAGCACGGAGTTCCACTGGACAGGGCATTGACGGTTAGTCGCTTGCTCTCCCATACATTCTGATACGATACCCTCCCGGCTACGTAATGTATCATTCAGCAGTTTCCCCGGGTGCGAGGTGAGGTGCGAAACGGTATTGCGCGGGAGTACTGTACTCGAGATAATGGAAAACAGTAAACTGCCGCACTATAGCAGCTTAGCTGGCACACCTTCATACCGGTATCACGCAGCGAGTCAGGCACGATAGATATCCTCGCTTTATTGTAGGATACGAGTACTGTACGAGTACAATACCATTACCAACCAATTTTCATTCCCCAAACCTGCCCACCCACTAGGACACCCGTCCCCATCCCATCCTATAAATATAAAAAATATCGATCCCCTCGTGAGAAACACGTTGAGCACAGCATTTAAAACTCACGAACGAAACAGCACCCACAGGAGTGATACTCCATGATCTCACCCTACACCCCCTCCTCTCACCCAGCCGAGTGGGTCCAGACAAGACGGTTAGATAAAAATGTTGCATTGTGGGTGCCGTGCTGACTGACGGACGGACGGACGGGCTCGGATCCGCTGAACATGGGTACGATAAAGTCCTGCATGTCGTGGACGTCCGTTTCGCTTGGGGGGGGTGGGGGGGCTTATCTCTGTCTGTCGGAGAGAGCCCGGAACCACCACCGGAAGCTGTGATCACAATTTCCTTCTGGCAGTGGGTCCTGGTGGGTGGTGGACTCGTACAAGTACGGTAGGTGTGGGGTTGTGGGGCGGTGAAGGGAGGAAAGATGGTCACAAGGGCCTGGTGAGCTGCTCGTAACTTTTGGCAACAGCATCTCACCGGTATTTGTCACTTCAGATCGGATCTGTTTGGCCTTGCCGTGCACTGCACTTTGAGTGACGGGTGGGATTTGGAATACCTGTACCATCGGTACAGGTATGATACCGTATCAAAAGGATTTTTTTTTTCTTTGGTCAGTGGAAAAACCTTGATCCGGATTTATTTGTTTCCAAAGGAATCATTGCGCTTGATGAGTGGGAGATCCCTGACCCTGTTTTTTTTTTTTTTTGCCCTGGGGGGAGTGCTGGGTGCTCGAGTACGAGTAGTGTGCTAGGTGCTCCGCTCCGTCTTGCTCCGAGCCGCCGGCAATGAGAGTTCGTGTAGGTGTCGGTAGTCTAAAGCATGATAGTATGATAGGAAAATTGGCAGTGTCATATATAATCACTCGATATGCACTCTGGTTTTTTTTTTTTCTTTCTCTCCCAAGTTATCACCACTGACACTTTGCGAGCTGGTGCAAAGCGTGGACCCATGCCGCAGCTGCGAAGGTCGGACACTCACCGAGAAATTTCCCGTCTCTCTTGGAGACAGTGATGGGTGAGCCTGTCCCTGAGCTGCTGCTGGCTACGATAAGTTGGTTCTTATTCCTAAATGGGACACTCCGATAGGTAAAATTGCGAGCATCTTATCTTATCGTGCTTTGTTCTTATCTGATCTCTTCTTCCTGCCAAGCCAACGCGCTGTGTGTGTGACAAAATCTCTCGCCCGGGTGACCCGGCACTTTCCCAGTCAGAACACGAAACCCCGACCTTTGATCTGAATTTTCTCCACTTTTCCAATCACCCTCGGCTAACTATATCTCGAAAGAAGGAAGGAAGGAAGGAAAGAAGGCAGATCTTCGCACGCGCTTTTTCATCGGAAACTCAACCATGGCCGATCAGGCTGATATCACGCGACACTCTCATCCGCTCAGTGGTATTGTGATATGCTGCACTTCTGTACCTTCAGAGCTCCGTGTGAGTATTTTACCTCTGATTTCCTTATCCCCTTATTGCTTTTGGCTGATGCTTTAGTTTTGCTTTGCAACAGACAACCTTAGCGAAGAAGGCTGTGGATATGGGGGCTCGACATGTCCTAGACCTAACCTCCGATGTTACACATCTTATCTGTGCCGACCTCACCACACCAAAATACAAGTACGTTGCGAAGATGAGAGCTGATGTGCGGGTCATGGGTGTGGGGTGGGTGGATGCCATGTACGATTTATGGATTAATGGCGAGGACATCAACCCTATAGATTTCAACGAGGAATACAAGTTCCCTACCTTCCAGGGGTTGGCTATCTCGTTGACTGGTATTCAGGAGTGTACGTTTTTGTGTTTTGATTGAGTGTATGTGGAGTTCTTTTAGAGGTGTGCATATTGTTCGACTGACCTTTTTGCCCTGATTGCCATAGTGAGCGAACGGAAAAAGATCGAGGACATTGCGAGGTCGCACGGAGCTTCATACCATCCTGACCTGACAAAGTCGGTATCACACCTCATCGCTGCGATCTCCGAGGGGAAGAAGTACGACTTTGCTAGGAATAATGGCATCAGGATTGTTACGATTGAATGGCTGTACGACAGCTTAGAGCGAGGAATGGCGCTGGACGAGAGCTTCTACGACCGAGAGCTACCTCGGGAGATGATTGGCGTTGGTGCTAAACCATCGGCGACAGTAACCCCTGGGGGGGTAAGTCTGACTATGTTTTTCGTTCCTGCCTTGTAGCTGGGAAGCTTATCATTGTATGTAGAATGTCGAGGTCTCGGGAAAGCGCAAGATACGTCAGAGAGCGGAGGATCTGCTGGGAAGCGGAAGCCAACACATCTGGAGTGATATTCTGGGACAAGCCGCCAATCCGAAGCCGAAGAAACGGGACGAATGGGGGGATGATCCGGGGGACGATGTGATCGTGCTGGACCATCCGCCACCAATGCCCCAGGAAAGGAGGCCTGCCGAAGCTGCTGGGGGTAAAGCGAAGGGCATAATGTCTGCTGCTACCTTCTACATTCATGGTTTTAAGGATAAGCATGTTCGTCCGATTATTTTCCTCACTTGCCTCTAGCGAGAAGACGTGAGCTCATATTGCATATCCTCCAGGAAAAAACAGTTCGTAGTGTATTGCTATCCTATGATGCTACGATAGTCTCAAAAATTGAAGATCTTGAATCATATCGGGAATCTTCAAGACTTATCATCATAGTTTCTCACACCATTTCCAAACTGAATTGCCCTGAGTTTCCTGGTGCCGAGGTTGTCACGGAATGGTGGCTCGAGACTTGTCTACATGAGTCCCGGTTTGCAGAGCCATCCGAGCACTTTACAAATACACCGTTTGAAGAATTTCCCCTGGCAGGTGTGTTGCTAATATCGATGTCTCATTGTCGGGTATTAAAAACTAACATCTGTTTTAGGGCTGGAAAGTATGGATATTTGTCTCACGCGCTTTACTGGTATCAGATTGCTACACTATCAAAAGCTGATCACCTTACTAGGTGCGCTTTATTGCCAAGGATAGCTTGAATAGAGTAAGACTAACCCAGGGGGTATAGGGGGAAACTTTCACGCTGTGCTCAGAAAAGAGCGAACCTTACTCATCTCCAACAGGCCGGCGGTTGGTGACAAATTCCAGTTTGCACTTCGATACGATATTCCCGTGGTTTCGGATGATTGGCTGGAAGCATGCGTCAGGGAGAGGGGGGCAGTAGCTTTTACAGATTACCTTATCCAGGGTGAGAGGTTGGAGAGTCGAGAGCGCAGTGTGACTATTACGACTGGAGAGGGCGAGGCGAAGAAGCGTGCACGATCAGAGACTCGGGGTGTAGCTGAGGATCCCAAAAGGCTTCGACCGGCGGAGGACTCGAAGGGTAAGAAGACTCCGACCAAGAAATTGCCACTTTTGGGGGATCGATTCAAGAAGAGGTCACCCGGCAAAAGGTCAGCAGCTGATTCGGTTACAAAGCCTGATGCGCCCGGAAATGGTGGTATCGGAGCCAAAGCTCGCAGGGGGGTGAAGCGTGGCCGGGATGAGATCATTGTAGATGATGTAGCTTGCTCTAATGAGAAGAAACAGCGTATTCTCCACGGCTGCATCATTGGTATTAGCTCGGGATTAAAGGTAGCTGATAACTCTTGAGAATTGTATAAAATTGACTAATAGTTCAAGCTGTAGGATCGTCGTGCTAGCTTGGATTCGATTGCCAAATCTATGGGTGCTGATGTAGTGGGCTCCTTCTCTTCAGAAGACCTAACTCTAATCACTCATTTTATTGATACGTTTGAGGTGACCCGGAAGTCGACCAAGGATTTTGAAGCGGCTAGGGCAATTGACAATTGTCACATAGTCTCCACCGATTGGCTGTATAGTAGCGAAAAACATGGGAGGAGAGCTGATGAGAAGGCATACTCCCTGATACGACCACGTGGTAGGGGGCTGGAGATGGATTTCGATAAGAGTTCTTCGTTAAGCAGCCTCGACAGCGCAATGGTCTGTGCACCGAGCCAGGGGTTTGACTCGGAGCTTATGCCTCCCCCAAGCGACGATCAGGGGCTCCGAAGGGGAGAAGGTTTGGAAAACGAAGCAAAGACCCTCTTGCCCTTGGATGTGGTGTCTCACCCTTCGCTGGACGAGCTGCACAATCAATCCGTACATGTTTCCCAAGCATCCGCCAGCGCTTTATCGCCTACCGAGCAGGCTGATGCGGAGAGAAGGAACCTTGTGGGGGAACTCCTGGGCAAGCTTGGAAAAGACACGATAACAAGCGTGATGGATAGACGCAAGAGACCGCGTGGTAAGCTTCTAGGAAGAGCTTCATCGAACTTATCTTCATACAGCAACAACAGTGCCGGTGGTTCGCAGGGTGAGGGCGCTAGGCGTGGTGACTTTGATTTTAGCAGTCCTAACAGACACGAAGTGGAGCCTCCTATGCCTAGCCAGGCTATTACATATACAGATCCCGAGGCGGAGAAGGAGAGGAGAACTGTTCGAGCAAAACTCCGTGGTAATCCTGTTGCTGAAAGTCCGAAACCTGTAGGACGTATTGGAACCGCGGTAGATGTTGAAGTTATGACTGCGTCAGTCACGAGGAGACGGGCAAAGAGGAAATAGGAGTTTGCTTTTTGTTTTCTCAACATCTTGTTCTCTCTCTCTCATGGTGTGTACAGTACTCTAACTTAGCTACTATATCTGCGGGTGAACTGCATTGCTTTGGGCGTTGTCTACTGTCTTCTGTCTGCTCTAATGTACTCTACCAAATCATAGGTGTTGTGCTAAGGTGGATGTGTTAGTGTTGCATTTTACTGATTCCCGGCGTAATAAAATGTACTATTGCTCTTTCTTTTTTTTCCCTTTTCCACTTCAGGTAGCCTTTGGTCAGTAGAAGAGAGTCTTGTTCCGGAGGTGTGTCGCGAGAAAACATGGAGGAAAACACTATCATCAGTAGTGAGAAGTTGTGATCGCGCTTGGTATTAGTGGGGTTTGGGCTGAGCAACGCCCTAGCCGCCCCATGAATAGGATCCAGAACGGTCCGGGCTCCGGGGTAAAATTACCTTAACTATGGTAAGCTGGAACCTTCACCAGCAGCCACCAACCTCTGCCTTTGCATTCCTCACTCTTTATTCCCCGGAGCAAATGTTCCGATCAAGCCAAGCAACCTGGTAATCCTCCACCGGGCATATAATATATCTTACTACCGCGCCGAAACTGCCACTCCGCACATAACAACCACCCTCTCTCTACTCTCCACGTAGAGCCAACAGAAAAACAGCTCACGGAATTCACGTATTCTGACAGAGTGCGTACGATATCTTCATTTACGACCGTCAACATCTTTGCTTGCCCCTGTCTTGGCACGGTCAACCTTTTGGCATGGCGAGCTCGGTAGATGACCGGGGCCCGGAGGCGCCGAAGAAGAAGAAGGAGAAGAATAGAAGACCTGCGGGTACGGATTTTGCCCCTCCTTTTATGCTGGTTCGTCGTCGCCGTCGGCGTCGGGATATGTGGCTGACTGGATGGATGGTGGTGATGTAGACACTCCCTTTAGACAGCAGCGATTAAAAGCCTGGCAGTTCGTTACCCCCCCCTCCTATTCCTCCTCCTACACGTATCTAGCTTTCAAGTGATTTACAATACCCCTTATAGCCCCATCCTAACGCCCCGGACCGCTCTCCCCCTCTTCTTTGCTGTAGGCATCGTCTTCGGCCCGATTGGCGGACTCCTCCTCTGGGCAAGCACCCAAGTCCAAGAAATCGTGATCGACTACACAAGATGCATAGAATCTACTAGCGGGGAGCTAACTACTATCCCCTCCTCGGCCGTGAGATCCTCCTTCACCACACCGCTCGACCCCAAAGACCTGCCAAGATGGTCCATGCACACTCGCCCAGCGCCCTACGACCCGGACGAGGAGGAAAGAGTCTGCACTATCGAATTCACCATACCAAACGAGATGAAGGCCCCGGTGTTAATGTACTACCGCCTCACAAACTTCTACCAGAATCACCGTCGTTACGTGATTTCGCTCGACGAGCAGCAGTTGAAAGGCGAGGTGAGGAGCTACGAAGACCTGGACGGATCGGAAGCTTGCGCGCCGTTGGCAGGGGCGGATAAAGTCCCGTATTACCCTTGCGGGCTCATCGCCAATTCCATGTTCAACGACTCCTTCACCTCCCCTGTTCGCGTGCAGGCTGAGGGAAATTCCCAGGGGGAGGAGTACGTCATGACGAATAAAGGCATCGCTTGGGGCGCTGATAGGGAGCGGTACAAAAAGACCCACTACCGCCCTGACCAGGTTATCCCTCCGAGGAACTGGGTCAAACGATTCCCGGAGGGCTATACGGAGAAGAATATGCCCGACATCCATGAATGGGAGGAATTCCAAGTCTGGATGCGCACCGCTGGCCTCCCCACGTTCTCAAAGCTCGCCCTGCGAAATGATACACTGGCGATGCCGGCAGGCAAGTACAGAGTTAACGTCACGTACAACTTCGAGGTCATGAACTTCACTGGCACCAAATCCATCATGCTGTCCACTAGGACCGTCATGGGCGGTAGAAATCCCTTCCTGGGAATCGCGTATGTCGTTGTCGCGGGATTGTGCGTGGTGCTTGGAACGTTGTTCACCGCGAGGCATTATTGGAAACCTAGGTATTTATTTGTTCAACCCCACATTCGTTTTGATTGAGCAGGGTTGTGGAAGCTAAAGAATGCCTGGAAATATCTAGGAAACTCGGAGACCGAAAGTACTTGACATGGAATAACGAACCGACCGGTGGGTCGCATGTTCCCACGCCCGTTGGACAGGAGACCCAGTAGTTTTTCCTGTCTGGTTTTTTTCTTTTTCCCTGGGTATTTCTTACCGTCTCTCGGGCCCCAATTTCAGTTCCATTACTTTTTTCCCATCTTTTTCAGTCTTCTAGGGAAATTATCCACCTGTTAGTTTACTCCCTATGTTTCCCTGTATCTTTGAAGAATTTGATTTGGTTTCTTTTCTTTTGTTGCGAAAGGGTTTTTTTTTGGTATTTTCGTCTTTGGCTCCTGTTCTTAATGCACATATTTTTTTTATCCTGCTTGGAGATTAAATTTAGCCTCATCGTGATATCTAGTTGCGGCATGGATAGATGGATGCTGCGTCCCATGATTTTATTCATAGGCAATCACTCGGTAAGCTTCATGTAGCTCATCATTTTGTCGATCACACCACGACCCACAAGTCAAGTAGCCTTTGATGACCCCTACACTTCTATCTATTGAATATCAAGTGGCAACTACAAGCGTGGATGGAAACTTTTTAACCCCCTTGACAACACCTGATTCTAGGTCTCTAAAATTCATTTTCGCCACTCCCCGCAATGATAACGTTATTCACCTTCAGCACCATTCTGCAAAGTTGAGTTGCGAGGAGGAGTTGCTGGCGTTTTCCAATCAACGGATCGATGACGAAGAGGTCTCGCATGTCATTGTTTCCGGTCATCATACAGTCCACCCCTAGCCTTGAGTTACCCTCGCGGACTTGTCGGGACTTGACGGATGCGAGGGTTTCTATGGGCGAAAGGCCGGAGTTTTGGGCGAGGGCCATGGGGATGGCGTCTAGTGAGTTTGCGAAGGCGCGAATAGCGTATTGCTCTAGGCCAGGGGTCTATAGGATTGGGTTATTGCGATTTCAGGGCTAAGAGGTGTATTGAGTAGAGTTGGACATACCTTGTCTGCCTCTTCGGAAACTGCTAGAGAGCAAGAGATCTCTGCAGCGCCACCACCATAGACAACTCTGTTGTCTTTGACAAGGTTCCTCACAACGCACAGAGCATCATGTAGCGCACGCTTAGCCTCATCGATAATCTATTACGGGTAGTTAGCTAATCAGGTACCATGGAAAACGGCCGGGTCAAGTTTGAGTTAACCATTTTGTTACTTCCTCTCACGAAGACGGTTACAGCTCTTGTGTTTGCACACTCCTCAATAACTAACATCCGATCTCTTGTGGTTCCAAAAGAGAGTTCACGAACAACACCAGCCCTGCCCAACTTCTCCGCGGTTAGGTCCTCAAACCGGGGAACAATCCTTCCATTAGTGGCAATCGCAATCAATTCCAACTCTGGACCACCGACCCATCGAACAGCGGGCAATTTGTTCTGAAGCAGCAAGTGATTAGCCTCGTCGTCGAAACCCCACTGGCAGATAGCCAGATTAGCGCCGGTATCCTTGATTTGCTTAATCATCTCCTCAAATTTCGACTTCTCGTAAGCCTGGAGACGCTTAAACTCCTCCACAGTAGTGATATCAAGTTTGTGCTTGGTTTTGGGCTTAGGGGGCTCGAATGCACATGTTAAGATGGCGATTTTAGCGTCTTCAACAACCCGGGGCATTTGCGGATGGGACATGTCCTTGTCGATAATGACACCCTTGACGAGCATCGAGTCATCAAGGGCACCGCCGACCTTTCCGTCAACCTTGATTAGCTCAAAGTCAACGTCTTTGCGATCCAGGTCGGCGACGGAAATTACGGCGTCGACAGCGATCTTGCTGAACTTGTCGTGGGCTATCGAAACGCTATATAAAACCCATTAGTACCAGATACATAATTCCGGACACCAAGAATTCTATCAAACATTTTGCTTCCCAAGGATGTTTTTGCAGCCCGTGTGAGATTGTCAAGATTGTCCTTCGAGAATTCTACAACATCCGAAATCCGATCAAGATGGGCAACCGCAACATCACACGCCAGATCAAAACCATCTGCAATCCGAATAGGATGGATTCCCTTGTCGATAAGGTCACTCGCAGCCTCCAGGAGAGCTCCGGCAAGGACAACGACACCCGTAGTTCCGTCACCAATTTCGTCGTCTTGGGATTTGGATAGCTCGACAAGGAGTTTCGCTACGTGATTTTCAATTTCCATCTACGGAAGCAATAGGTGTTAGGATTGTTGCCGCTAGACCTAAGGGGAGAATGGGGAATGGATAGTAACCTGTCCGAGAATAGTAGCGCCATCGTTTGTAACTGTAATGTCGCCATCAGGAGATATTAAGATTTTGTCGAGTCCCCGAGGTCCCTAAACCGCACATGGATCAGGAACTGCTGACCCTACTTGGCCTCTTCGTTTGAACATACTAGGGAGGATTTGACAATATTTGCTACAGTCTTAGCAGCCAAAATATGGGACTTGACAGCTTCGGTGCCATGTTGCCGTTTTTTACTACCCTGACTGCAAAATTGAACAAGTTAGTGAGTGCTCAACCATCTGGTGGAGTATCAAAGTGAAAAGAGGTAGAATAGGATTGCTCACTCTCTGACAATAATGAAAGGTCGGCCGTTTTCGTCCCGCACCATCTGAGCATTACTCATATCGATCTGCATTTGGCCAGCCATGTTGAAGGGAGTCAAGTGGAGGAGGGTACGAGGGACAATAAGCCTTTGTGAGACCGGCCAAGGACGGTTGAGCAAAAGGCGATGATATGAAGCGAGTATGTTATGAATAGCTATCGCAGGTGGAGAGCTCGGGGGTGATGGTGGGGGATGGTAGATGTGGTGGTGACGGTGGACAACTGGGGCTCGGATAGGGAGGTTGCACAGAAACAAAAATTAAAATCCAAGCATGCGGGGCACCAAGCCACAGGAAGCTACCTGCCAGCCACCGCCGGTATCGAAACAGGGCTTTCTGGTCTGCATTCACAACCCTCAAAAATAATCTACAGCATAAGACTATCATACCGCTATCCATCAAACTTATGGCCGTAAATTATTTTTCGCTGGGCTCATAGCAAACGGGTACAGAAAGGCCACACCGCAATCAAATTACAAGTCTGCACAAACCACTCCAGTGCAATTTGTTTTCTTCAAACCCCAGCAGCGAGAGGAAAAAATAAATAAATAGGGAAAAACTTTCAGAACAAAGCTGTTTCGCGCAATTGCTCGCCTACCCATGTCTATTCGGTGGTAATATTTGCATCGAGATCACGAGTTGTTGACCTGTAAATTGCGGTGAAATTAGTAACCGGATTGTACGGATGTGCGAAGGGGAAGGGGAAAGCGTATACCTTTTCTTTTAGTTGGGCAAGGAACTGCCCCAAGCTAACCCCTTGGTCGGTCCTATCCTCGATCAACATGGTTTGGGCCCAGAGTCTCAAGGATGGCTCGCCGTCCCCGCGCACCACATAGAGGTGAGGAACAGTGATAGAGCCGACCATTTTAGATTTGTGGTTGCGGCTCTTTTCAACAACTGCTCTGACACGTTTATTGAATTCTGCCCCAGTGCCTTCAAGGTGAGGGAGAGTGGTTTTTCCGACTTTGACATGTTCTACACCAGGTAGACCAAAGACATCCTGCACCAACTGAGGAACAGCTTGTGGCCCGATCCAAAGGAATTGAATTTGCGTATCGTCAATCAAGTAGCATCCAAAGGGAGCGAGGCGCTCTGAGGAAAGGTTCATGGCAGGGGGGAGAATTATTTCACCCCCGGCTGGGCCGGGAAGCCCACAGCTATCAGGCATATCGTGAAGCGAATAGAACTTTGGGTGAATGTACTGCATTAGCATAGGTGCCGGCAAGGTCGAAAGGAGACAGAGGGCAGCAGAGCGAAGATCGGTAGGGATTTGAGCAGATTTTCGGAGCCCGACCTAGCGATATTTGTTAGCGAGGATTATGGCAAATGTACATATCAGATACTTACGTGTTTCATTAAGCCCAAGAACAGGACCACAAGCCCCTTCAGGTTTGCGGCGAATGAGAGGGGTGTAGCAGCCCCAAGGTGACTGACTGTGAGCTCTTTCTTGAACGTGATCAATAGTTCAGTCAATTTGGCTTGCAGCGCTTCTCTGGCTTGCTCCAATCCGCTGCTCAGGGTCTTCTCCACAGCTTTGTGACTAAAGTACATGGTTATGGCTACTTGGTCAGCGGACGCGTAAGCGTCCGAAAGATTCTGGGTGGTTGGTAGGGCCAATGTCATGATGCGAATTCTACGCTCCCCATTGCAAGTTGTATGCAAGACTGCAGTCTGCATACAGACAAATTGCTTCCCAAGAGGCTCGTCAATAGCCACTTCGACAACATATCCCTGGTCACGAGGGAAGGCAGGGAAGGCACAAAGATCAGAAGACCGGTTGAAGAAGTTGCCGTAGAAGGTCTGCATCCGCAGCCCGGTTGTAGCCCTGACTCTCATAACAGCCTCGAGTGCTATCTCAGCTGATAGATGGTCTGAAAACTCTCTTGCGAATTTGATGGCGTCTTCGCTTCTAGTGGCATTCCAGCCCGGATAGAAGTAGGTCTGGCCACCGGTGTACCTGGGCAGATTACTGAGTGAGGCGACATCTTGATAGCTGTTTGAGAATAAAAACATATCCACGGATACCTGATTCTTGGAGCATTCCACCGCAAACGACTTGTAAAAACTGTTGGCTGTCTGTAATAACGAACTTTCCTTGCTAGTTCCAAGAAGCTTCTTGTCCTCCCGATTCTCCAATTTTCCAGCTCCCAAACTGGGCAATGTCGCTGTCAAAACAATTATTTTACCTCCAATCGCAGAAATTAGTTTGTGTCCTGCCTGTAGAGCACTACCCATACAGCTCGAGCCATTCTGCGAGTTCTGGAACATATCCTGGAGTTTCCCTAATAGGTTCTCAATACCTTCCTTACACTCGGTCAAAGGCACCAACAGGTCACCCGGGATTGGCAGGAATGGCTCGTCCAGGTCAG